TGGACATAATGGAGTGACGTTTGTTATTGACAAATGCCTAACAAAATTTGTGGAAAGCTATAAACCTATCAACGACCTCATAATCAAAATTACAATATTTTCCAGACCAGCAAAACTTTATATTATTTAGGTTTATATGCCCACTTCGGCTGCTTTGGACTATGAAGTGGACACAGTGTACACACAAATTGAAAATATCATCACAAAAATATCACAGAAGGATATACAGTAGAGCATCGATTATCCAACTCAATTGGGGACTGGGGTTGGTCGGATAACTGAAAAAACGGATAACCGAAAAGTATGAAAAAATACATTAGTATATCGCTATTAACCTACTTTGCATTGAATTTTCATCGATGTTAAGCCTAGCAAAATTGTTTTTAAATAATAATTGTCACTATTGTATCATTAAAAATTATTTTTAAATTATTTTATTGCTCACAAAATGAACAACCACTCATAATTACAAAATTAAGCCTCGTTTAAATACTGGCCTCCCTTTCATGGTCGAGCCAGTGTTGCCAGCTAAAACACGCAAAAATTTAACAAAAATAATATTAAAGTAGCCAAGACATAGCCAAATATTGTAGTGCCACATCACTAGCAGACATTTGAAATTTGCCGACTAGAACAGTTAGTTAACCAATGTGATGGTTAATTGGGGGTCGGATAATCGATGCTCTACTGTATTGATAATAATGGGAGATTTTAATGCTAACATAGGCAATACAAAAAATGATGATAATCTATGGTGCATTATAGGGCAATTTGGACTGGGCACCAGAAATGAGAGAGGAAATAGACTCCTTTAGTTTGCAATCGATATCAGTTTTTCAATAACTAACACTATGTTCAAACACCATTATCGACATCTTTCTACTTGGACCTCCCCAACAAATGATTATAAAAACCAAATTGATTACGTGTTAATAAGAACAAGATGGAGGTCGTCAGTAAATAATGTTAGAGCAAGACTTGTGAATCTGGAGCATTCTGCAACTCTGATCATAAGCTACTGAAAGCAGAAGTAAGATTAAAACTCCATACAACAAAAATATCAAAGATCAACCCAAGACTTGAGACTCCAGCTAGTTCAATCTTACAACAGACTCTCCGAAATTTACACCCTCCATCCTTTAAAACAACCCAGATGATTTATGGACACAAACAAAAAGTTGGATTTTAACTGGAGTACAACAATGCACCACATAACATTGGCCACAGAAAAAGAAACATTGGATGACAAATGGAATGGACAAATCCCTTGAATTAATAGATGAAAGGAAAAAATTATTAACTTTAGCAATTGTTGCAGATGAAAAGGAGAAAGAGCTAGACAAAAAAATCAAAAAGGCTTGTAAGAAAGACAAAAATGATTATATCGACAGAATATGCAATGGAATTGAAGTCCATGCAAATAATAATCAGACTCGTGAACTATACGATGAAATTAGATATCTAGCAAGAGAGTTCAAACCATGCACACAAATAATTAAAAATGATGAAAATGAAATAACTGATGCGGAAGGGATTGCTGATGTCTGGAGGAAGTATTGTGAGAAACATAAAGACACTGGTCAAACAAATGATAATAACCAATTTCAGAATGGTTGAAGGGGAAGCTGAACCATCTATTCTTAAATCAGAGATAGAAAAAGCCATAAATACATTAAGAAATCACAAAGCTCCAGGACCTGACAATGTAACCTCCGAAATTTTTGAAAGCAATAGGAGAACTGGGTGTTGATATATTTCATAAAATCTACCCCTTAATTTGGAAATCTGAAAGATGGCCAGAGGAATGGTGTAAATCAGTATTTATTCCAATTTGTAAAAAAGGTGCACCAACAGATTGTAGTAACTACAGAACTATCTGCCTAATTAACCATGCCAGTAAAGTAATGCTCCAAATAATTAATAACCATTTGAAACCCTTCCTATTACCTGAAATAGCTGAAGAACAATTGGGGTTTATCCCTGGTAAAGGAACTCGTGAACAAATCTTGAATATTCGACAATAGTGTTTTGGGACAGTAAAAGGGTAATTTTAGAACATTACCTGCCCAAGGATCAAATGATGAACAATAGCAACTACTGTGACCTCCAAAACCAACTTAAGGACAGCTATCTGCAAGAAATGTTGAGTCAGTCTTTCCAAGAGCTTATTCTTTCTGCAAGACAACACCAGGCCTCATACAGCAAATTACACCAGAATATTGATTTAAGATATGTAGTTCGAGAGCTATCTGTATTCTCTGTATTTCCTCATTTGTCACCATGTGACTTCCAGCTCTTTTCAGCACTGAAAGACTCTGCAGGGCTATCATTTCCACTCTGATAAGAATGTTCAATATGCAATGCAAAAGTGGCTCAGCAGCCAGCCAAAATACTTTTTTACTTCTTGCATTCATATGTTAGTATCTGCCGGCACAAATACACTGATATCAAGTAGGCTACATCTCAAGTAGAATACATTATTATTATTATTATTATATATATATATATATATATATATATATATAATATGGTATGGAGGGAAATAGTTTACAGTAAAATTTCAATATAATGAAACTGTGAGATTCACCAAATATATTTTTTATATTGAAATTTCGTTAGGCTGAAATATAGTCAAATTGATAGAATGTGGAAAAAGTTATTAAATAATAAAAATCTCTTGCATCTTGAAAGCAAGAAATTTTTAAAATTGGAGATTTTCTATTAACAGCTAGATAGAACAAATTGTACATTTAAAGTTGTTTAAGACTGGAGAAAATTATTATTAATTTATTTTAATTAGTTTTTCATTTTGCTTTTTTTGGCATTTGGCATTTTAATCAGATCTGTCATGTATTTAGTCAGATCACAATAGGGTGACTAACTGGTGAGGCAGACACCTCAAAATATTCAGGTCTTATGAAAAATTCTGAATTAAGTGAATCATATTTGGATTCCCAAAATGCAGACTGATGCTTTACCAGTTTGACATCTAGGTATCTGCATTTATTGATATCACTAAAAATTTAATGTCAGCACCAAGACACTTGAAGTAGTGATGGCACTGATAATCACATGCCCTCTCCAGAATAGTTTTTGTTTATTGCTGAAAGAAGTCTACAATTTTCAGTTGTGCTAAATGCATAAAAAAAACTTTCTGCCTGATTCCTGAACTGTGTCACAGCATTCTAATATTCTGTCTGGTTTTATATTTCATATCCAGAGATTCAGATAAATTAACAAATGTTTGGACATGGACTGATCACTTAATTCATGAAATAGTGCTAGATTTTTCCTTATTGTCAATATCTACATCTAAGGACTTGTCATCCTTAGATGAAGATATTGGCAATAAGTCTTCCTTGACCTGTTTTGCTATTGTTTTACTTTCATATCATATGCTTTCTGCAATCCATTTTTGGATAGATATTGAGAAGTCATTATTATAGGTCTGTGTGTTTCTTCATCAGATGTGAAGCACTTTCATTTTAGACCTTTCTTTAGAAATGGAAATAAATCACATGTGGGTTTAAAGTCTGTGATGTATAGGAGATATGGCAGGATGGCAATTTTGACTCCAATTGTAATGTTTAATGGTTGTACAATATTCATAGTGTAGAATTTAGAATTGTCATGATAAAGAAACCCTCTTTGCATTAACAAGTTCTGGACAATTTTCAATTTCAAAAGTTGTCCAGAACTTGTTAATGCAAAGTTTTATTCTTAGAATCTCGATGAATGCTTATTCAAAATTATTCCTTAGAGCAGGCATGGCCAACATATGGCCTGTCTAATGAATTTATGTGGCCCGCGATCAATCTTTCAATATTAGCTATCAAGTCCGAATAGCTCTGAAAAATTCTGACTCCTAAAAATAAAAGAAAAAAGGTCAATAACTCACTGTGCATTTAGAATTAATGCTCCATTACAAATGACTTAAGTACAGTGTAGAATGTTGATAAAGCATGATAATGTGAAAAATGTACAGTATCTGTAATCTCTATGTAGAATTTAGTCTCTATGGGGTGACACCACAATGAGATCTCGCACCACCTCAAAATCTTCCTAGGGCAGCCTCTGGTTCAGCCTGGGGGCAAAAACTGTTGGCCACTCCTGCCTTAGAGTATAACATATGTATTTGCATATTTTGTACCCCAAGGAACACAAATGTTTCATTTTTTATTCAAAATAATTGTGAATGACAAATTGTTAATAAAAAACATAAAACAAAAACAACACTACTTGGAACTGATCAGCACTTAAGAAGGCAAGACTTCTGAAAGAGCACACTAACATATTTTCCCAGAAATTTGTATGGACAAAAGTGGAATCTATGCAAATTAAATGATCAGCCTTATAATATTTTGTTGACTTACTGAAATGTTTAGATAAGAAAATATAAAGTTATAACAACTACATGTAACTTTATTATATTTAAGATTATACTAAATATCACTTTTGGATAGCTGAACTTAATGTCGGATTAAAAGAGACATACATACATTTAAGATTATATATTAATGTTTATGTATTGCTATTTTTATCCTCAGTAGAAAAGGCATAATTTAACTTTTTATATTACTCTTTTTACATATTTATTTAACATGTTGAATTTTTTGTATTTTTTAATTATTTTATATATATAGTTAAAGTAAATTATTATTATTATTATTATTTTAATTTCTCATAAATACTATCAAGAAAATGAAGGTGGAACCACATAACACATTCATTTTCTTGATAGATAAAATATCTGTCATAAAACTGATGATAAACTGGTGATAAGACCAAGATAGATACTTTCTTAAATTATGGAAATTATCATCAGTTTATGCCTGAATTTTATGGATTCTTATTTGCCAAAAGTTTAATATAATGATTTCTCTGATTTTTTCATTTTATTATTACTGTATTTTTTCAAAATATTTTAAAATTAAATTAAATAAGAAATTATTTACATTATAAAAGAATAAATTAATTTGAATTGTCTTTTGAAATAACAGCTTGATGATGATGATGATGAAGATGATGACGATGATGACACAGCTTCTCAAGATTATGAAAGGGAGAAGAAGAAGAAGAAAAAGAAGCACCGTGGGAAAAAGAAATCTAGTCATAATCCTTGGGATGTATCTGAAGAATCAACATCTAGCAGTGAAGAAGAAATTATTGAGGAAGAAGAAGAAGAAGAGGAAGAAGATGATGAAATTTTAAAATTTGATGAAAATGAAGATGAATTTGCTTGTGAAGAAATTGATGAAGATGCAGAACCCGTAATTGTACGAAGAGCGCGTACTGTTAAAAAAGGTAAATGTGATAATAAATGATCTGCACTTTGGTATCTTTTAGAAAACTTAATTATAATATTGAACTTCAAATTTTTGCTGTTATCTGCATTCATCTTTCTGTTTCCATTTATCCTTTCTATTGATTTAAAATGTATTTTAGAAGAACTCAAAAACATAATAAAATAAGCAGTTATTACTGCATTGTTTCCCAGTGTATGAACAAAGAAATCAAGAGTATTTCATTGCATCATCTTCTAAAAAATCTGATTTTGTGTAAACAATGGTTAGATGTTTCATAATTTGGAAAATATCCAAAAACACTTTTGTTTGTTCTGCATTATAAAACTGATTACCAGATATAAAGTAATTATCTTGGAATGATTCATTTTAAAAAGTATAGTTGTACTTCTTAAATCTTTTAACTTGACAAATGTAGGATTTATCATACAGAATACTCTTTAAAAACAAAATCAGCCAAAATTGGCCTTATCCATTAAAATGAAATTGGCCAATGCAAAAGTTGTTTGAGTAGTTTTGCTATGCAAATTCTTTTTGTAGCCTGAAGAGGTAAAAAGAATTTAGTCTCTGGGTGTGAGATTCTGAATACTCCCCCCTAATTAATTGAAAATCGATGTCAAATACATAAATTTTTAGAAGTAATATTTCTGATTTAAAATGAAAGAATTTTAAGTTAAAAACAAAGGAAACTGGTAAAAGTCACTTCCTTCTCAACGGAAGTTCGACATCCTTTTTGTTTTCCCTTATCTTCACAAATTTTGAGTCTCATACAGTCCAGTTATCCCTCTGTAAAACCCCACTCATCCTAAACACATGGGACTAATACAATTCTCTCATTGGAGAAAATCATCAAAAAAGGGGATTCTTTAGTATCATTCGGGGAGTACACCACAAGATTCCATAGGAGAAGGACGTATTCCATATAAGCTCCCTACGGCCAACGCCCATATTCGACTCTCATAGTTCATACAAAGTTTGTTATTAAGTTACTAAATAGAAGAAAGAAATGTTTACTGATGTGTCACCAAAGAATTAACTAAAGATAAGAACATTCGTATTAATAAGAAATAAAGAAGAAGATAAAAGAGTATACTTTGAGGTAGTATGATTTTAATTGAAATTGTGGTCTCTCTCTCCGTGAAAAATATATATATTTGAAGCTGCATTTTGTATAATTTATCTTTTGTTATTAAATATTCGTTTTTATGTTAAAGTAAGGTCTAAAATGTCTGAATCAAAATATTTCATCATATCCATAGCTATTCAAAATGTGTATTAATCTGCATATGATAAATTTGATTAACTGGTGTCAAGGATCCTGACGATGGATAGAGACTTCACAGTCGATATTCTTTTATTTATAAAAAGCCCTCCTTAAAAAATAGAGAGCCAATCTAACGATTGCGTGTCAGTAAGTGACATAGATCAAAATTCTATGCCCTTGATTTCTCACACCGGGTACATAGATAGAAAACATTTTCAGAGCTTAAAGAGTTAACTCATGATGGGGTAAGGATTAAGAAATGAAATTTGGCATGGTAGCTTGTATATAAAGGGCATTAATGCTATTAAATTTTGGAGTACAGAACTTGAGAGTAGGGAGATCAGACTTAATGAAAATTTTACTTTGTTATTGCCATTTACAGTATTTTTAAAAACTCTGCTCTACCCTCAAAATTAAGTATTTTTTTGTCTTTTCATAATAATTAATGTGATTAAAAAAATAACTTATATTTCATAATCAGATGGCACCACATGCCATTTTTTGTAACTTTGAAATTTTAACTTTAAAGGGAAAATGTTTTTTAAACTTAAAATTCTTCATTAAAAAAATATTTACCGTAATTCAACAAAGTTACTCCTTTTAAGCTTTTGTTATTATGAAAGAGCCTTTGCCAGCTTTTTAAAAGATGTATCTAATAAATATTTATCATTATTCAGTTTGTATATATTTTTAATTTAATAAATGCAATGATATATTACTTTTCCTACCATAATGAGAAGATTGAAATTCCCCATTAGTTCATTTTAATTGGAAATACATGTATTGCTTTCCTAAAAACAAAAGACAAAAATTCTGTGCATATTTTCTTAAATTATATTTAAAAAAATTCTTATTTTATGCATGGCTAACAAAAGCTGTAGGCATTTTTGTAATATTTTTCCAAATAAGAAAAACAGAAATAGGATTTATTGGGTTGCATTTGAAAGTTATACAGTAGAACCTCCATTATCCGGACCTCTATTATCCGGATATTCGATTATCCGGATTGTTAAAAATAAACAAAAATTTTATGAATTTGCTGATTTGCACATGGCGAATTATGATACTATTTATGTACGTGATGGAATGCATAACATTTTTTGTTTCAACAACGTCTCACCAAGCACAGTGGTCGTAAACTCTTAAAAATATTTTACGTAGTAATAAAAATATAACCTGACATACGTATTTATAAATTATTTATATTCAAATTACATCATTTCTATGACCAAGGGCGGCGTAAGGCATGGACGACGTGGGCCACCGCNAATCTGCTGTAAATATTTATCGTACCAATTCTTTAACAATCTTCCCGGGTAACCATTTAACAAATACTTCCTGTTTACCTTTTTAATTTCTTCATCTCTCTTATTAATTCTAGTTGTTCTAGGAAAGATCTTACTTATTTCCATTAAATAGATATTTATTTTTGGCTAATCGGACAATAAGATTTAAAATTTATAACTTATTTGCATTACAAGGCTTTTCATACTTATTATACTCTAAATGATCTTTAAACCTGACTATTATTATATCTAAGTAATTTAGTTTATCAAATATTTCGTTCTCATAGGTAAACTTGATATATTCATTAATTTCATTGGCTTTTTTTAATATTTTCTCAGATGATGTTATTTTACTATTGTATATAATAAATATGTTGTCTACATACCGCACAAGAAATACTATTCCTCCTAATCGTGACAAGATTTTATTTATGTTTATCATGATTATTTCTGCCAGTTTTGGGCCAATAACTGAATCCATAGATATTCCGTCCCTTTGTCGGTAATACTTTCCATTAACTGTAAAAAAATTATCCAATGCAAAAGTTACAATAAATTGGGTAAAGACAATTTATCTGACTCCATTGTTTTTTTAAATATTTTTATTTATTTTAATACTTTTTTGGAATTAATTTCAAAACAGTATTAAAATAAAATTGGTTTTGATTTGAATGACTCCATGTTAAATAGACTAAATCCAAAAACAAGTGCTTGAAATGCTTTTGTCACCTATGGATAGTGAAAAAACAAGGGTATTATGAGTAATGCAGTGAGGCAGCTCACTCCTTCTTGCAAATTCATATTCAGTTTTATTTTAATATTCACTAGTACATGGAAAAATAATTCTCCTTTCTTTTCTGACTTCTGGAGGCTTAAAAAATTCCAAGTCTGGTATAAAAACAAAAAAGGACAAACAGGTTAACTTTAAGAGAAAAAATTTTTTTATTTAACACCAAAATCTTCACCCCAAATGCATTTCGCCTTTTTTGGCCTCTTCAGCAGGGTTTCCTACAACCAGAATGTAATACAGTAGAAGACACATTTTTAACACAAGTACCATCGCGTTTACAACTATTATGTATTATCATCTCTTTCCAGCATTCCGCTGGTATCACACCGTTATTTAAATTTATAACATTTATAATATGTTATTGTTATAATATTTATAACATTATTTTGCATAACTATTGCGAAGTGTTCTTTGAATTTTCTTTTTACCATATTTTTTTCTCTATTTAAGATTTTTACATTATTAATATCAACTTGGCAATTATTTGTGTGACAATGTAAAAACATGGGAGATGTATTGACTTTAAATGTTACTGCAGCCAGATGTTCCAACATCCTTACTTTCAGTTTCCTCTTCGTTTCACCAACATAATAGTACACTGGACTCTATAGATCACTCCTTCTTCTTCCAATAGCTCTCTATCCTTTTAAGATTCAGTCTTTATTAGTCCAAATAACCTATTTTTTTGGAATGGGGCTAATTTAATTGTATTTTCACAAAAAATTTTTAGATATTTTTCAAAAATACCCTTAATGTACGGAAAAGAGACATACGTATTAATTTCTTGCTTTTTCTTTACTTGAAATCTGCTGTAAATATTTATCGTACCAATTCTTTAACAATCTTCCCGGGTAACCATTTAACAAATACTTCCTGTTTACCTTTTTAATTTCTTCATCTCTCTTATTAATTCTAGTTGTTCTAGGAAAGATCTTACTTATTTCCATTAAATAGATATTTATTTTTGGCTAATCGGACAATAAGATTTAAAATTTATAACTTATTTGCATTACAAGGCTTTTCATACTTATTATACTCTAAATGATCTTTAAATCTGACTATTATTATATCTAAGTAATTTAGTTTATCAAATATTTCGTTCTCATAGGTAAACTTGATATATTCATTAATTTCATTGGCTTTTTTTAATATTTTCTCAGATGATGTTATTTTACTATTGTATATAATAAATATGTTGTCTACATACCGCACAAGAAATACTATTCCTCCTAATCGTGACAAGATTTTATTTATGTTTATCATGATTATTTCTGCCAGTTTTGGGCCAATAACTGAATCCATAGATATTCCGTCCCTTTGTCGGTAATACTTTCCATTAACTGTAAAAAAATTATCCAATGCAAAAGTTACAATAAATTGGGTAAAGACAATTTATCTGACTCCATTGTTTTTTTAAATATTTTTATTTATTTTAATACTTTTTTGGAATTAATTTCAAAACAGTATTAAAATAAAATTGGTTTTGATTTGAATGACTCCATGTTAAATAGACTAAATCCAAAAACAAGTGCTTGAAATGCTTTTGTCACCTATGGATAGTGAAAAAACAAGGGTATTATGAGTAATGCAGTGAGGCAGCTCACTCCTTCTTGCAAAACAAACTCTTTTTGAAGCTGAGGCAAAAGTCTCAATCATTTTATCCATAGATAATGACTTTTCCAGGTTCTTGTTTTTGGATTTAGAGTATTCAAGTAAAAAGTTAGCTGGGATTAGAGTTAATTTTTAGAAAATAGTTACCTATTTTTATATATTTGGTTACTACAGTTTTTTGTTAAATTTCTTAAACATTTAGAAACTAAAATAGAATTAAAACTATATACTACATTTTATATAATAAACCAACCTTGAATCACATTACTAATGAAATAATCAAGCCAGATTTATTATCGGGTTACTACTTTTTCTTCTTCTTTATCTTCGCCTTTTCCCATGTTTATATGGGGTCGGCGTTTCCTTCTCTAATACGTTTTTTCCATTTCTCCCTATCAAGGGCTTCTTCTCTCTTAAGTCCCCTCTAAAGTCTTCTTTCATCTTATCTTTCCAATGCATCTTTGGTCTTCCTCTTTTCCTCTTTTCCTCTTTCCTTTTACTACCAGTTTTCCAACCTTCTTTCCAACATAATTGTCACTTATTCGCTCTACGTGGCCAAACAACCTCAACCTACTTATTATTGCCTTACTGTCCTTTAGTTTCTTAATATATATTTTTTATCAACTTGGACATTAATTATTAATAGGACAATTATACTGGTGTTAAGCATTTACACAAGAATTGAGGAAATGTTCTTCGAGAAAACAGACTTTCTTTATTAAGCTACAGGTAGCTTAATAATATAATAAAATTATTTTTTTTTTGGATTGTATATATTCACTGATTTATACAGGATTATCATAATTAAACATTTTTATTTAAGACTTTCAGGAGTTCTGTTATTTGACAGAACTCCTGAAAGCTTTAACTGGGATTTCAACAAATATGATCAATAATATATGAAAAGTGTGTGTATATTACTCAAAACATGATGAAAAGGATTCTGTAGAAAAAAGATTTAGTTGCACTAAATTTTTTTTCTACAGAATCCTTTTCATCATGTTTTGAATAATATATACACTTATAATAATATAGAGAAATATTGCCCTATACAAGGTGAAAAACATCACAAGGTTTAGGAAAATGAATACTAAAGATAAACCTGAAAATAAAGATTTAATTTTTCTGTTGCAATTTCAACAATGTCACATAAATTGAAACATCATATTATTTATATTAGTTATAATGTGTAAGAGGAAATTGTTTTTATAATTTAAAAAACTATTGAGTTCATATGTGATCAAGTTGGTAGTGTTCATTGTGACTACCATTTTTGTGAACCCTAAATTACATGTGGTACACAGTGTACTTGACAGTAGCAAAACAACATTGGTATCAAACCATATAAGTAAATCACAATAAAATGCTCAATTTTCATGTCATTGCTGTAAGTGCAACATACAAAAATTAATCTGTATATTCAGATTTGTCTTTGTAATTCATTTGTTTGTGTGCTATAATCTGTTTCATTTTACATATTGTTACATTCCCCTGCTGGAGGATTTTGGAACTAAAATTTTTTTTATGAAATCATTTTCTTCACACCTTAATTATTATAGTATATCTGTCAAATTTAGTGACATGTCAATTGTTCAATAGAGCTTAAAAAACACCAAATAGGAACACGTTTAATTATACAGAGTGATTACAAACTTGGGGTACAAACTTTTAAGGGCTGCAGAGAACAAAAACAAACCATATTTACATAGGAATGTATGATTGGAAATGCAATCCTAACATTGGAGGATGTTTACCAGAAATGCAGTTGGAGAGTTTAGTCTTTCTCATTTTACATACTGATTTCATACATGAAACATGCATCATTTTATAAATGCTGAAGTGGCAGATTTGCACTCTATGTATGGTGTAGCTGATCAAAATTGACAATATGCTGCACAAATGTATCATATTATAAATGGTAACCTAACAATTTTATACTGCATTATAAAATTTTTACATGCTTGCACCAGAACTTGTGTGAACATGGAAAATTCTGCTGCAGCGGGTTATTGTAAAACTATATAACTACTGTCAAACTGTTACGTTACATTTAATAAAGATTTTTTCATTATTTATTATCTTGTCATTACTGCATCTTAGTGTATCCTCTAGCACAAACTTTTTTTCACAGTGGACCAGATAACAGAGAATGATGAGTACAGGCCACATAACCATTTTTCCAATACAATATCCTGAATACCTGAATACACAAAAATAAAGGCAACAAATGTATTTATTTACTAAAAAGTTATCAAAGAAGGTGACATTAGCAATCAGATAGTTTAAACATGGCAATGCAAATTAAAACACAATTACTGAAGCAGACTCATAATTGCTTTCCTTGGAAACTTTATTGTAGATACTTAAAGAAAAAGCACTCTTATATCCAAAGTTGCAAAAAGTTGCCAAATTTTTATTTCACTGATTTTCCTAAAAATTATATTACTGTCAGATGCAAAAATCAGATTGGATAAATTTGGGATTTTTACTTATACTTATTGTAATTTTTTCTACATAGTAAGTTCATCTACAATCTATGATATTTCCATATAAATAATTATATTTTAGCTCATTTGTAGCATAGTGTGGCAGTGGGCCAGATGAACTGTAGGCTGTAGTTTGGTGACTGTTGCTCTAGTACATTGGGATGGTGTTTCCGATCATATATTTCTATGTGAATATAGTTTGTTCTCTGCCTCCCCTAAAAGTTTGTATCCCGAGTTTTTAATTACCTTGTATATCATATCTTATCAAGTGATTCAATATGATGGTATTTATTAGTATTTTTGTTATGCTATTATGAAATAATTTTTGATTTGATTTGATATTTAATTGATATATATAATAGACTTTTTTAACAATTCATAAACAATTGTTTTTCAACAATTTGTTTAAAAAAGTTTATTATTTATAACTTCCTCATATAACTTTCAGCATTAGTTATGATGATAACAATAAGTTTTGGTTACATAGCATTTATTATCAATTCTTCTTATATTAAATAATGAATAAGACTAGAACATCTAGGCACTAAAAATCATATAACTAGTTATAAAAATGCATAAGTTATCATCAGTTGTAATAAAAAAAATCATCAGTTGCACTTTAAATTTATATAACAACAATAATAATAATAAAGAGAAGCTTTGATTATTTAATTTTTTATTAACAACTGCATATCCAATTTTAAAGCTCCTGAATCAAGGTGCAAAAATCTAAACGTATTTGAACCCAAGTCAGTTCATTTAAACACTACATGAGACTAATGTACAGTATGACTAAATTTATATTTAAAAAAGTAATAGATTTTTCTAGAAAATTCATTACTTATCAAATTATTAGAAATTTTTAAAATACTTTCAGATAACTTTATTAGTCTTATTGAAAGAAATTTTATTAATTTTATTGAATTACCTTATATATCTTGTTTATATGTAATTATTTCTAGTAAGTAAATTTTATTTTATATGAATCATAATTGTAAATTTTTGTATTACAGATATTATTGTGTGATAAATGTGATTCAGGTTTCCATACTGCTTGCCTAAATCCTCCTTTAATGATTATTCCTGATGGTGATTGGTATTGTCCTCCATGTGAACATGTATGTTTCATTCATTACTGTATTTATCTATTTATTTTACACAAANATCAGCAAAATTTTGTTTATTAATACAATATAATACAAATAAAATACATTTAAAAAATTAAATTTATCATAAAATAAAGTGAAATGTCTTTATTAAAAAAATTTTAGTTTCGGATCTCTTTTCGAAAAAAGTATCCATCTTTAATTGTTTACACTTTTGTTTTCATTCATATTCCGAAATTCTCAATGATGCTTTTTTTTACATTTGCATCGCTTCCAATCATTGTCTAACTCACAAAGTTCATCCGTCAAACTTTCCTTAGTTGAAAGGATACGTTACAGACGAGCGAAGACACAGATTGGTCGACCACCGGTCGGTATAAGGTCAGTTTGAGCGAGAAAATTCAAGGTGGCTAAGGAGAGAAAAATATCGTCTGGCCAACGAGAAGTAGATTTGTCTCACTAACGATAGTTTGTGATCGCCGGAAGTGCTATTGCGTCGTGAGGTGTTTTCTTGAACGAACTGATACGGGATACATTCATTGGCGCTATGGATTCGGACGCCATTTATTGGACTTTTAAGTTTAATATCTTGACTCGTGGGTACCTAAACGTTTAGTATTTTAATATTAATTTAATGCAAATTTATACATACTCGATTATATTAAACAGAAAAAATATATTCAATAAAAATCTTTGTTTTAACGAATGTACAATGTCGCGGCTCGGTAAATACGTTAACACTGAAATGAAAATGAGTACTGTATAGCATGTGAAAAATCGGGAAATTACACTGCGAAACGGCAAATTGTGAATCGGCGTAAATTGAACCGGAGTAAACCGCGGGCTACCTGTATTTGATAAATCTTCCAATGGTTATTTTACATTTTTTAATCATTTATAATTTGGATTTAATTAAATACTACATTGATGATAAAAATTAATAAATAATAAAAATTATAAAATTTTTATATTATGTTTATGTATATATATTTTATACTGTCTGAAATAATATATATTAGGAAAAGAAAGAGAAATATCTTGATGAAGAAGATGAACTTTTAGAAGATTTTTCTGAAGAGGATGAAAAATTATATTCTAAAAGATCATCTCGCAGTAGAAAATGTGTGAATTATCAATTTAAAGAATTTGATGAATTAATTGCTTCTGCAATTCAAGATGAAGTTGTTTCAGAAAGAGGTGCTGGTGAGTTTTGTCATAAATTGTGCAATACAAATCAGTTTTTCCATTTGATTAATAAATCTGATAACATTTCTTGATGTTTTTCATTTTAATTTTTAATTAAAATCAATTAATTAAAAACTTGGCATTAATGCATTTTTACTGCTTGATTACCATACCATATATCAGGTGTATGTCCTAACATATTCCAGGAATTTTTACATGAAGCTTTGATTACAGGAGAAACTTAACATTAATTTTTTTATTATTCATTTTCTTTAATGATTTTAATGCAAGTTTTTGACAAAATGAATCATTTAGGCCAGTGGTTCTCAACCGGGGGGTACGAGCGTAAATCGAAGGGGTACATCTAACTTTCATTATAAAATGGAGTATGTTAATCAATTTGCGGTAAATTATTAACAGAAGAAACAACAAAAACTTGCTTTAAAATATCCCAGTGTGAACACCAATTTTCCTTTTAACAGTCTGAACAACTTGTTTGTCCATTTGATTTGCCTGTCTATTTGTGCTGAGTGAACCTGTAGTCTAGTAAAATTACGGTTTAACCGACCATTAATTTTAGAATAGAAAAAAAATATTTTTTCTATTCTATAATAATACTTTTCATCCCCTTTCCTATCTCGCTTTACTTTTTCCCTTTGCCTCTTCCCTTAATTACCTTTTCTCTACTCTTCTTCATACTTGCGCAATACCAATGAGTAGTCCCGAGTCTTCNTTTTTTCTATTCTATAATAATACTTTTCATCCCCTTTCCTATCTCGCTTTATTTTTCCTTTTGCCTCTTCCCTTAATTACCTTTTCTCTACTCTTCGTCATACTCGCGCAATACCAATGAGTAGTCCCGAGTCTTCATCCCCTTTATGCTAAATATTCTATAATTATTTATCGATAAGATTGGGGCTTTGTGTTTTTACTGGACTACTGGTATTGGGAATAATGAGGCCTGGATTACATGTCACTACATGCGCACATTACTTGATATTTAGCAAATTTAGACGTTACATTTGTTACAAAAATTGAAAGATTCGTGTATTGTTCTGCACCTTATAAATTTGCAGCCATTACACAATTATAATCTCTATTTAACAATGTGGAAATCAAATTTTGAAAAAATTGCTGAAGATTTATCGCAACAAATATCCCATTAAATTTTGTTAGAAATTATTATAGAATAATTTAAATTTTCGTTATTGTTAATTATAATTATTTATTTTTAGGAAATGTAATTTATGCATGTATTGAAATGACTTCTGTGATTTTATATAATATACTTGTCAAATAATAATAAATGTATGTACCTGATTAAATTGATTATTATTTACGTAAAATAAGTAATTCATTTTTAGTTATTTTTATGGCGCTCAGTTTTAAGGGCTGTATACATCTAACGCAGTAATTATAAAATTTACATATCAATATATAAGGGGTACTTGAGAAACAACAAATGGGAAATGGGGTACATCAACAAAAATGGTTGAGAACCACTGATTTAGGCCATATTCTTAAAAGCATATTATAACAGATGTCTTTATATAAAGATAGTATAAACTTGAAATATAAACAGGCATTTTGTTATGTTTTTTTAATAATGAGAACTAACTAGAACAGAACTACAGTAGAGCGTCGTTTATCCAAAAGAATTCCAGTCGAAAAATTAAATTTTCGCTAGTGCTGTGGCGCTGCAATCTTTGGCTACTCCAATATTTTTTTGTTGATGTGTGTTTTTTAGCTGGCAGCACTGGCACTTTTCTGTGGTGATTTTCTCAGGACTGTGTGTCATGCTAAATCGAACGTTTTTGATACTAGATTAAAAATATAAAAACACAAAAAATATACTTTAGAAGTTACTTTGTTTGTAAAAAAATAATTTTTAACAATAGCCACGATTATTATTTTAAAAAGTTTACATTAGGCTTAACATCGACGAAAATTCAACGCGAAGCGACACGCAACGGAGAAAAATTTCAACATAGGATAGGTTAATGTATTTTTTCGTACATAATCGGTTATCCGAACAACCCGAGTCCCCAATTGATTCGGATAAACGACGCTCTACTGTATCAGAATTCTGACAACTATTCTAAAATTATTACAACAATAGATTGTTAGATATAAAATTTTAAGTACAGGTAGCCCTCGGTTTACGCCGCAGTTCCGTTCCAACAAACGCCGGCGCAAATCGAATCGGCGTAAAACGAACCCATATTTACAGTGAGGTATAGGTTTAGGTTCTACATAAGGGAAAAATCAGCAAAATTTTGTTTATTAATACAATATAATACAAATAAAATACATTTAAAAAATTAAATTTATCATAAAATAAAGTGAAATGTCTTTATTAAAAAAATTTTAGTTTCGGATCTCTTTTCGAAAAAAGTATCCATCTTTAATTGTTTACACTTTTGTTTTCATTCATATTCCGAAATTCTCAATGATGCTTTTTTTTACATTTGCATCGCTTCCAATCATTGTCTAACTCACAAAGTTCATCCGTCAAACTTTCCTTAGTTGAAAGGATACGTTACAGACGAGCGAAGACACAGATTGGTCGACCACCGGTCGGTATAAGGTCAGTTTGAGCGAGAAAATTCAAGGTGGCTAAGGAGAGAAAAATATCGTCTGGCCAACGAGAAGTAGATTTGTCTCACTAACGATAGTTTGTGATCGCCGGAAGTGCTATTGCGTCGTGAGGTGTTTTCTTGAACGAACTGATACGGGATACATTCATTGGCGCTATGGATTCGGACGCCATTTATTGGACTTTTAAGTTTAATATCTTGACTCGTGGGTACCTAAACGTTTAGTATTTTAATATTAATTTAATGCAAATTTATACATACTCGATTATATTAAACAGAAAAAATATATTCAATAAAAATCTTTGTTTTAACGAATGTACAATGTCGCGGCTCGGTAAATACGTCAACACTGAAATGAAAATGAGTACTGTATAGCATGTGAAAAATCGGGAAATTACACTGCGAAACGGCAAATTGTGAATCGGCGTAAATTGAACCGGAGTAAACCGCGGGCTACCTGTATTTGATAAATCTTCCAATGGTTATTTTACATTTTTTAATCATTTATAATTTGGATTTAATTAAATACTACATTGATGATAAAAATTAATAAATAATAAAAATTATAAAATATATTGATCATTAGTAAATAATGTAATTAGTGAAATTTATAATTTTTATTATGTTTATGTTGTGTAAAGTACTGTATTATTTTTCCGACTTTTCCAACGATTATCGACACGACTGTGTGCCGGAAATAGCCGTTCCCTAACGGGTACTTTACGCGGATTCGCGTTAGTGTGTCAGGCCTGGACTTTAAGTGTGCACCGAATTAAATAATGACAGTTTGTTACTAATAAATCAAGTAATTTAATAAATAGTTCTAATAATAACTATGTACAGGTATACCTCGCCTTACGTCGGTAATTGGTTCCAGGAAAACGACTTAAGTCGAAAAACGACGTAAATCGAATTTACTTGTCTCCGAATCTACTTGTCACTAGGCTAAACTATAAATTACTATTCCCAGTTCTGTATTTTATTTATTAATGCATTTTTTATAATATATGGTTAATAAGAATCTATTTTAAGCTTACAAACAAATAAATTTTAGTTTTAATAGAGTACAGAAAAAAAGTAATCTAAATTTACGAATGCATGTACTGTACTGTAAATACAGTACATACTTGTAAATGTGTATATTTTAATATGATTTTATGTGCTTTAAACGCTTTTCTAATGATATTACGACTTCAATATTTGTGGCGGACAGATGTAAAGTCGAATAAAATGACTTAAACTTGATTTTTATTTTTTCGTATACTTTTTTGACAAACGACGTATAATCGGGAACGACGTAAGTCGAGGTATACCTGTACAATATTTAAGAAAATCAAATTTATTCAATGAAAGTCAATAAGAAATCAACCCGACAAAACTCAAATCAATCTATTTTCTAACTTAATTCTATTTCCCTTTGGAATTCGATAATTAATTTAGGTACAATAATTCTTATGAATTAAAGATCCTAATCGTCACATCAATATACTAGGAACCTTTTTCCTAAACTCTGAAGACTTTCTCTAATCTTCGATCCACAAATCGAATAACTTCAAAATCGCCTTGGAACTATTTTATCCTATCGGACACCTCTCTCGTTTACTGCTACCAAGCTCGTTGCTAACAGAAGCTCACCTCGGTCATCTTCACTTGACGTTCGGACTTTATACTGTGAGGTGACGTCACAACTCTGAATGCGATCACTCCCCTCATTTACATACATATTTGCTAACAATAAACTTTTTCTATTTGTCTGGCAGCCTATTTTCCGACAATACTCGTTAACCTTTTACATTATTCTTTTTAACAATTTTCGGGATGTTTTTATTCTATAATTAAGGTTTAGCGAGTCCCTAAGTTGTGCTTGTGGGGTCTCCCCTCCTTTTCTCGGTGGGGACTTACTTTTTTCCGCTCGGGAGCGCAAGTGTGTGCGAGTTTTTTCTACGGCGTTTTTCTCTCGTTGGTGAGTTGGTTTCTCTTCTATTTTTAAGTTTCTAGGTGAGTGGTGAGGAAACCTTCGTCCTAACAAAACATAAGCCCCAACCAAAAATATAATAAAAAGCAAAAATAAAACGGGTTAAATTCCAGATACGTATACTGTCATGGCGGCTCATCTCTGATTCAAGCAAACAAAAGAAAGGAAACAGTGGGGACGCACGTTCTAACCTAACCTATTCTAATATATTACCATAATTATTACCAACCAAATTATTAGAATAGGTTAAGTTAGGTTAGAACGTGCGTCCCCACTGTTTCCTTTCTTTTGTTTGCTGGAATTATAGATGAGCCGCCATGACAGTATACGTATCTGGACTTTAACCGAAAAATAATTTTTAAAATTGAGTTAACTAAAATTTAAATTTGACTTAAATTACTTAAATGCAGTATTTTATAAATTCTGATTATTAAAACTAAAATATTGAAAGGTGCTGGAAAGGGCAAAGATATGTCTAACATCACTCAAGCAGAAGAAGAAGAAGATGATATTCCAATAGTTAGAAAAAAGAGGAAAAAACATCATAGACGATTAAATGATCTAAATACAACAACAGAAGAAGAAGATACAGATGATGATTATAAAGGTAGCAGGTATGTCTGCTAATTTCTTTTTAATTATTGGTGAACAAAATATTTATTATACTTGAAACATAAAAGAGATATTATTTTATTTCTTTAAATCAATTATATTGATTATTTATGTTGTACTTTGCAGAGCAATATGGCTAGAAATAAATCAAAATAAAGACTTCAGAAAAGTGGCTATGTATTTGTCACATTTTTATTACATGTTTAATGCAGTATACAATTATTTTATGTATGTACTGATTGATTACTGACATTAAATGTTTGAGTAGAAATACACTTACTCAAAAAATAAAATAGTCCAGTGGAAGAAAACCTCAGTATATTTTTAGAAATGTTCAAAATCTCAAAAAAGTTGAATATTTTATATTAAAGTTTAATACCAGATTTCTACAAAAAAAACTGTGCATATGTTTAAACAGTCTATTTTTAACCATCATTTGCAAAAGTTTAATATGCTCTTCTTGCAGTCCTTCAGAATTAATAGAGAGGTTGCAGCCAAAGTTCAAACATTAAACTTGTACGGCAAGCAGAAGTACACATTTGACATTTGAACTTTAAGTAAAACATGTTGTGCCACATGTTCACAATAATATCCCATGAGTCAGTGCACGACATGAACATTGTGCACTGACTCATGGGATATTGTCGAAAAATGGTGGAAACGTTTAATGACGATGAATGTTACCAGCGAAAGAAAATAAACAAATTAAACATTTTTAAAGTATTTATAAGATGTTTAATAACACTAAATAATTATTTTTAATTAGCGTTGTCTCGTACAGTACAATATGACTACCTCATACTTTTGTTGAGGGAAGTAGTGGCTTATGTAAATCCGAAAGCAGCTTGGGAAATTATTTTTAGAAAATTTACAAACATATTATGCTGTTGATGGTAGATGATGCTGTAAAAGAACAAACCTACTCCTACAGAATTATGATAAGCTATTATGAACAGAAATATATGTAAATTCTATAGGCACTTCACATCACTTGCAAAAAAATTGAATAATTAAATAATTTCTGGATTAAAATTGTCTGTTTCTTTACAATATTATTCATAAATGCTGAAATAATCATTATTTTAATAAATTACATCATAATTTTAACCCCAAACATAAAAAATGAAGTTTAAACCGATCTTCTACTCGCCATGCTAGACATAGCAAACGTCATTATCAACCTTCTAGAATTGCCAGATGGCGGCGCTTGATGCCCGACGTTCATGTTTTGGGCTGAAAACATCGGCTGCAACCTCTCTAATATACTTGGCCGTAAGAATGACTGATACAATATCATTATCATTATATGAATTGTTATAAGAAATTGAGAATTCTGTAACTGACTGAATATTCTTAATTTGCTGAGAAATGATATTAACAGCTGTTTTTTCATACTGTCCCTGATTGTTTTTTGCTGACAATAACATAACCTTAAATTTCTTAAGGTATTTTTGTTTTGGTTTTTAAATTATAATACAGTTAGCTCTTTTGATATATTAATAATGCATTTTTTAATATACAGTCATACCTCAACTTATGCTACCCCGACTTACACGAACCCAGAGTTACGCGATTTTCAAATCTTGCCAATTCGTCTTTTGTTTGAGCGCCATGCAACTCTCTTGATTACTCACTTCCCCCACACTATTGTTTGGCTTACATGTTCGGACGTGTCGCGTAGAATCGACACATAGCTACAATTTATTTTGTGTTATTTATTTCTGTGTTTGTTATATCTACGGAGACTTGAGAGACTCTATGTCAGGGGTGGCCAAAACGTGGTGCATTGGACAATTACAAGTGGCGCTTCAGTTAGTTCTGAGCAAAATGCCAGATTTGGCTTTTTTTGCGATTAAGAATATTATATAAAAAAATAAATTTTTATAGTCTGTCTTGGCAAGTTCATTTGTTGCACAATTCGTTACGGTATATTTTGCAGATAAAATGAGTGTTCTCCACATAGTAAATTACAATGTATGCATGTATTTTGAGTCTTGCGATCTTTATTTCCAATCACTTTACAGGCGTATAAATGGCCGAAAACATTTATTGTGATTAAAGTTATTCCAAGCTGATCTCGTTTCAGTGTCAATAATTGTGGTGCAGAGTAATCTTCACCAAACGAGACTCTGGCAGCAATAGNGACACATAGCTACAATTTATTTTGTGTTATTTATTTCTGTGTTTGTTATATCTACGGAGACTTGAGAGACTCTATGTCAGGGGTGGCCAAAACGTGGTGCATTGGACAATTACAAGTGGCGCTTCAGTTAGTTCTGAGCAAAATGCCAGATTTGGCTTTTTTTGCGATTAAGAATATTATATAAAAAAATAAATTTTTATAGTCTGTCTTGGCAAGTTCATTTGTTGCACAATTCGTTACGGTATATTTTGCAGATAAAATGAGTGTTCTCCACATAGTAAATTACAATGTATGCATGTATTTTGAGTCTTGCAATCTTTATTTCTGATCAGTTTACAGGCGTGTAAATGGCCGAAAACATTTATTGTGATTAAAGTTATTCCAAGCTGATCTCATTCTCAGTGTCAATAATTGTGGTGCAGAGTAATCTTCACCAAACGAGACTCTGGCAGCAATAGCACCATCATGAAGCAATCACCCTCTCGTACAGGAGATCATTGTTGACTATTGTAAATTGGTGCTTCAATAAACTGTCATAAATTAATTAATTCAACTGCGTGATTAAGTTATTCCATTTTCTTTTCTAAGCGAAGCAGATTTATTCTTATCTCTATTTATCAACCCCTAACATTGAACGTAAGACTGTATAAAAAGTGTTCGAGTTATATGGCGCATTTGAACTCGTCTGTCAAAAAATTGGCGCATGGTATGCAAAAGGTTGGCCACCCCTGCTCTATGTGGTGATTTCTTGTAACCGTGAACGAATCAAAAGACGAGATAAGATTAACGAGAACATTTATTAGCTTACATACATCCAACTTGGATTTTACACAAATTGTGAAATTATACCCCGACTTACGCGGTTATCGCTCGGTCCCACCTATCATGTAAGTTCGGGGTATTACTGTATTTACTGGCTATAAATAATTTACCTTGTTTTACTATCTTGTGCATTGTTGAACTTGTAGCAGTAATAGTACTATCAGGTTATTTCTCCATTTATTGAATATGCTTTACTTTTGTCTACTGTGTTTTTTTATGTATCTAAAACTTTCTTTTTGCAATCTTCAACTGGATATTTAGCTGCAAGATTAATGTACTTTTTTAATAAAATACTTTTTGAAATTATATTTTTCTATTATTGGTGAATTTTGTATTGTAAATTGGGCATGACAATAAACCACAGAGCTTATAGTGACTACATAGATTTCTATCCATTCATTTTTAGACTTTTAGTTTGGTTAGTTTTGGTCTGTTATCTGTTATTATTTTTTATAAACGTTGTCATTTTGGGATTATTAGAATTTTAATAAATAAATCAAGTTAAAAATAAATTAAAATAAATAAGTTAAAGTTAAAAAAATCGAAAAACAAATTTACACTTAACAGTTATAAATCTATAAAGAATAGAAATAGTTTGAATATCTTCCTTAAATTTGATCAAGCTGAAGCAAAATCATTTTATATGAGGTAGAAGTGAAATAAAAAATTATTTTAAAACATAACCAAAATATGTTATGTTATAATAATTATAGATAAAATAGAATTCTTTTACTATCACTCTAACTTCTGTACATTTATGCAAACCTATGTCAAATCAAGCAGTTACTTTTTGTAAAAAGAAAGTAAAATTTGAAATGTTGTCAATTAATTAAAATCAAAATTTTAAAATAACTTCAAATATAAAAATTTTTCCACTGGGTTATTTTAATTTGGTTTAATAAATGATGCACAAATAGAATAACAAAATGCCAAAATTATTCAACCAGTCAGAGAAATGAACTGTGCTAAATTTCAAGAATTTTGAATATTTTTTATTTTTATAGATTTGATAAACTGCATTACACTAAAAATATTCAATCTATGTCAATTAAGTAGAAATATCTCATTAAATAATATAGTTTTCTGTATGTACTTAATCAATTATTCAAATTTATTATTATTTTACAGTATCTATTGCATTGTTTATTATAATTTGTATTTATTTACGAGTTTAGTAACATTGTATTCTGTTTAATTTTGTTAGGTTTTATTTAAATTTTATAATAAAAAAAGCCTGATAGCAATGTAACCAGCCAAAAATGTTAGCTATTAAATCTTTTTATTTATTGAATCAAGTGTCAGTTATAACTTATTTAAAGTACAAAAATAAAAAACATAGTTTACTGTTTTATTTTTACTTATTGAGTTTCTTTACTTATGTTATATAAAACATTATAATTTCTGAATTTGAGTTGCTAAAGCAACATTTAATAACATTATTCATGTAGGTTTGAAGTGTTTATGCCACTCATAAGAGTGTCATAAATGCTTCAAAGACAGCAATTCAAGGAGGATGATTTCCATCCTGGAAACCTGACATTGCTGGAAACGAAGAAATGATCAGCAGAATACAAGAACAAATCAGAAAGGATTCAAAACAAATAATAGACAATCTGGTTGAATTTTTTTTAACTTTCTCATGGCTCTGTGCCTCCCATAATCAGTAAAGATTTAACATGCAGTGCATCTGCCAGCACATTATCCTAAAGATCTGATGAAGGACCAGTGCAAAAAGTTGGATCCTGGTAGGCAGAGAATTGATTGACATGATCAACCATGATCCTCAGATACTGAACAAGGTGATCAATGGTGACAAAATGTGGTGTTACTTTTATGATCTCCAGAGTAAATGCCAATCTTCCATGTGGAAGTCACCAATGCCCCACAACTGAAGAAATTTAGGCAAGACAAACTGGAAGGGAAGATGATGATAATCGTTTTTCAAAAACCAAGGTTTGATGCATCACAAATTCATTCTTGGAAGGCATATTGATATTGTGAATAAGAAAATATATAGTATGTGAAAATTTTGAAACAGCTATATGATTTTGTATGTTGAAAACAGTCTGCACTGTGTCAAGAAAAGAACTGGGTTCTGTGCTATGATAATGCCTCTGCAAATTGGTCGTTTCTGGTTATGGAATAACTAGCAAACACACCATATTTGTACTTTTACAACTACTTTACTTATTATATCTTGCATCTGCTGACTTTTACCTGTTTCCTAAGATTTTCATCTTAATTGAAAGGTCCAAAGCAGAGGTGGAGAATGCAGAAACACAAGCTACATTATGGTGTGGATGTGGTATGAATGTCGGCAAAAGTGTTTAGCTGCAGACGGAGTCTACTTTGAATGTGGATGGTAGGCTTCATTGCATTGAATAATAAAAATTGTGCAATAAGTTCCATTTATTTTTAACTCTACCTCATACATAATATATATGGAGTGGCATTCCATGCTCTGTCTTTGACATAGAAAGAATACTTACAGCATCAAACTAATTTTATTTTTCAATATAATCTTCCTCAGTTTAATACTTTTTTCCAATAGAACTCTAACATTTCAATTGCTTCCTGGAAAAAAGGTTGTCCAACATCTGAAAAGGTTAACAATACATATCACATCTTCATTGCTTGAAAATTTCTTTCCATGGAGATATTCTTTGAGTTTGGGAAACAGCATGAAACCAATATAGGCTAGATCTGGCAAATAACGTAGATACTTAATCAACTGCTTGAGAAATAGCAGCCATAGCAACATATTATGTGTGAAATGGGGCATAATCCTTATGGAAGAGCATACCTTTAGTCAAATTTCCACATTAATTTTTAATTGTTAATAATATGTTTCTGTTACCATGGATCCTTTCTTTAAATAATCAACTAATATGACCTTCTAGCATCCCAAAAATCAGAAGCCAGAACTTTATCTGCCAACTGTTGAAGTTTGAATTTGTAAAGCATGAAAAAGAAGCACCATGATGCTTCTTTTCCATGCTTTGGGATTTACTTTTTTGGTCATAGTGATGATCCCTCATTTCATCTACAGATACAAATCTATCAATAGAGTTCTGCTTGTTCTCTCTATATTTGTCTGAAAGACACTTTAAATCACAACATGACATTGATCCTGTGATATGGTTAACATTTGAGATACCCATTTTGCAGAAATTTTTTTCATATCAAAATGTTAAAATATATTATAGTTAAATATATATATTAAATATAAATACCAAATAGTTAAAATATCATGTACCATATGATATGGAAATAAAAAAGTGAAAAATTTGAACTATTTCTCACTTTTTTCTTTGATCTTGCATTATTCAACTTTATCAATGTAATTCAATCATGCACTTTATAACATTATTTTGAGTTGTAACAGTCACTGTTAATCCACTTCCATGTTAATTTTCACATGAAGTTCTATCACATTTAAATTCACAACATTATCATTTAATGTAGTTCTACCAAATAGCACAATCACCTAAAGTTTTCTCCATATTCTTGTTAATTTCTCTTGGACTCATATTTTTTTCTGGAGGTATTTAATTACTGCTCTTTGCTCAATGTATTTTATTTTTTCGATGAATATAAAACACACAATTCTTTACACATGTGCCCTGTCAAGTGAGAAGCTTGGCTAGACATGAGCTTTTTCATTGCATGTTGAAACTTGTTTTACTACTACAGTAGAGCATCAATTATCCGAAACAATTCAGGACTGGAGTTGTTCAGATAACTGATCACATAGAAAAGATCAGCAGAATACAAGAACAAATCAGAAAGGATTCAAAACAAATAATAGACAATCTGGTTGAATTTTTTTAACTTTCTCATGGCTCTGTGCCTCCCATAATCAGTAAAGATTTAACATGCAGTGCATCTGCCAGCACATTATCCTAAAGATCTGATGAAGGACCAGTGCAAAAAGTTGGATCCTGGTAGGCAGAGAATTGATTGACATGATCAACCATGATCCTCAGATACTGAACAAGGTGATCAATGGTGACAAAATGTGGTGTTACTTTTATGATCTCCAGAGTAAATGCCAATCTTCCATGTGGAAGTCACCAATGCCCCACAACTGAAGAAATTTAGGCAAGACAAACTGGAAGGGAAGATGATGATAATCGTTTTTCAAAAACCAAGGTTTGATGCATCACAAATTCATTCTTGGAAGGCATATTGATATTGTGAATAAGAAAATATATAGTATGTGAAAATTTTGAAACAGCTATATGATTTTGTATGTTGAAAACAGTCTGCACTGTGTCAAGAAAAGAACTGGGTTCTGTGCTATGATAATGCCTCTGCAAATTGGTCGTTTCTGGTTATGGAATAACTAGCAAACACACCATATTTGTCCTTTTACAACTACTTTACTTATTATATCTTGCATCTGCTGACTTTNTATTGAAAAATATAAAAACAAAAAAAATTATACTTTAGAAGTTAATCTAGTATCAAAAACATTTGATTCAGCATGACACACAGTCCTGAGAAAAAACACTACAGAAAAGTGCCAGTGCTGCCAGCTAAAAAACACACACCAACAAAAAAGATATTGGAGTAGTCCAAGATATAGTCAAAGATTGCAGCGCCACAGCACTAGCGAAAATTTAAATTTGTCGACTGGATTGCTTTCGGATAAACGATGCTCTATTGTATTTATTTTGTTTGTGCAAAATAAAGAAATAATTTTTAATGATACAATATGGTCGTGCCAGTGCTGCCAGCTAAAACACATCATGTGTTTCTTTATGCAGTGCTTGAGAAGTGCTTTACAGCAAACACACTGAAACTGGTTTTTAATTGGCCAACACTGCTTGTGTGACATCATTTCACTACACTCTTGCTGCATAAATAAATGCGGAGATGCACACCAACAAAAATAATATTAAAGTAGCCTAAGATATAGCAAAATATTGCAGTGCCAGAGCACTAGCAGAAATTTGAATTTGCCAACTGGATCACTTTCAGTTAACCAATGTTTTGGTTGATCGGTATTCGGAAATCAGTGCTCTACTGTATATGATATAAATTAAAACTTTGTATAATCACTAAAATTAGTTCAGGAACATAGTATAAAGGTCCATCTTCATATGTTTGGTCTAAATAGCACCAAGTTTTTAAAATATTTATTTTTTCAAAAATGAAGTTATATTAGTTTTTAGAAATTAGTTCATTCATTAATTGTTTTGATTTTAGTAGTTATAAACATAAATTGTACAATTTACAATAATTATCATATTTATTTGATTCTAAGCTGAACTTCAATTTCTCAGCAGGTTTTCATGAAAAATAAAAATACCAGTAGTAAGATTTATTTACAAAGTTCAAAAAATGAGATGTAACAAAGAGTGAAAAATTATGTTAAATGCATAATTTAAAGTAAATCTTAATTGCTGTCACTATCACATTGTGAAAATGATTTATCAGTTGCATTATTATAACTGACTTTTGAATCAGTGTTGACATTTGTCATTTTCCTAAACTAAGTTGTCTTCTATTCCATCCATTGCATTTGTAATGCAGCATTCTTTAAAGGAATGAATTATTATTTCATTGTTAACTTTTTCCAGCTGACAGACACCCATTTTGCAATTTTTGAAGCACATTCCTTCTTTATTTTCCCAGAAGTGGCTAAAGTGTGATTTTTTTTTTTAATGTAACCAATTTTTGTATACTTTTCTTACATAATTCTTAAAAGGCTTATTGATGCAAACTTTGATTGACTGAAGTTGACTTAAGATACTGCCTAGGAAGATCATCAGAGTTAAAACACTTCAATAAGTTAAAAAAATTACAGAATAAATGATCCAATATTATTCTAAGGTAGATTAAAGGATTGTTTCTGGAAAAAACAATCCTGACTAAAAGCTACTGGTCAATTGACAGTGAAATTAGGTCAGGATAGTAGATAAGGTTTAGAATAGGTTTATGATACTTTAAAAATTGTCTTTTTAGGTAAAATTTAGCCATCTTTGAATGCAAGCTGCATCCAATATTTAGAGACATTAAAATGGCAAAAAAAAAGGCTTAGAATTGAATAAATATAGTAAAATTTATAAGGAATATAAAATATTTGTAGTAATATTTGTTATGAATGTTTTACAGTCCATCAGAAACTGAAGTTTCTGCAATTAGTGAAGATTATTTGGAAGAGAGTGATGATTCTACAACCAGAAGAACTCGTAAAAGTATATTTTCTCGTTCTGACAAGCAAAGACGAGGAAGAGCAAAATGTGATGATTCAGGTTAATATTTTAAAATATATATTATATATAATTTAAAGTTATTTTTAATGGTGATAAATTTAGTATATTATATAATTGAGACTTTTCCATAAACTGCTTTGTGTATATATTATTGTTCTGTGTAATTTTTATATAAAATAGTTTAAAATTTTTTAATTAGGCTAATTACTCTGATTGCCTTCAATTAATTAAGGAAAAAATATCAGTAGACTTAGTCTGGAAGGCAGTTTTATTTTTCCTCTAATGGCCTTTATGGGATGCAACTAAGATATTAATGGGAGCAGTATTGCCTGTCTGGATGTGGGATGGTAAGCACTTAAAGTTGATACTTTTGCTCATGCAAAATTGGTCTAGCAGTTTCTTCAAAGAAGTCTTGATGTATTAAATATGGAAATTTAAAATTTATTGGTTAAAAAATTTAACCATTAAGACAACAAAATTGACAACTTATAATATAAATCTGGTCCTACATTATTCTTATGGATTGGTTAAAAGTAAAATTATTATTTGAGAATATTTTTTACACAGAAGGATGTAGGGATTTGAATAAAATTGGTGTATCTTCATTAAATGAAAAGTTTCCTGTGACTATTATCAATACATATAGTTTATTGATAGTTAAGCTTGAGAAATTTTATTGTCTATATGAAATTGCTTGTTAAAGTCTTTGTCTTATTTAGTACTCCTACTTAATGGATCTATAATTAAAATTCCTGTTTTGATGCTTATGTGGAACAAATTATTTATTAGAATGCTTTCAAACTTGTTAAAAAAATTTAAGGGAAAATTATGTACTTGTGAAACACTAAAGGATGTCCCAAAAGTCCTTGACACATTTCTAAAAATTTCTGAAAGAAATTATATGGGATAGGAACATAATGTTTACTGATTTCAAGAACTTATCTATAAAAGTTTTTTGTATAGTTAATAAATATACTTCAATATGTGAATCTTTTATTGTGTAGAGCATGTCAAGTTTGTTTTATTAAGTTACAGCCATGCGACATTTTGGCAATTTGCCTTCTAGGAGGTCTTTTAAGGGCAACTGGCCCCTATTTAGGCATTAAAGACATGGAGAAAACCTGGAAAACTTCACATGGCCAACCTGTCCTGGCAAGGAGCAAACTCATGATTGAACTATCAGTGATCAGAACTGCTTGGCCACTGGTGGGCCTGGGTTAAAAAACACAGCTGGGATCCCAAGATCCCATTTGAGAAACCTTAAATATTATATAATGTGAAATGGGATAGCTAGATAATCAAATTCAAGTAGGCAAGAGCAATCCCAGGAATTTTTCTAGGGTTGTGTTTTGATGAAATGCCTCATCTTTCATTGTTCAGCCATCCCATTGTGCCTGTCTTAACCCATGAGTGTAGAAAAGGTCCTTTTAGTGTTTACAGAGCAAAAAGAGTAGGAAGAAAAAGAAATGCATTTGATGCAATGTTTGACATATAGATGATTATTTAAACTGTATTTAAAGAAATAGCAATTTTATGAATGTTTTAATATATTATATTGCCAAAAGTGAAATTAGTAAATTTTTAACAGATTACATGAATCGGTACATAAGAGATTACAGATGTTTATATTTGTATATGCGCCATTAATAATATGAAATGAGATTTTCATACAAGTTCTTCAAAGAACAACTGTACAGTTATAACTATTCTCACAAAAGTAGAAGTGGAGCTTATGTATCCTATAAATATTCATAAGTTATATAATGTTTATCCATTTATGCAAATGATTCAGGCTTATTAGTGAAAACAAGTTGCTGATTGTGACTTAAAGGAATAATAATTTAAAGCCTTTCACATAAATGTAGGCAAGGAGATAACTCAAAATGTCATATGACATTTACTTATGTAGTATTGTTTCGTACACATTATCTTTTGCATTTTTCTCCAATATTAATGAGAACAAACTAAACCAAAAAAATGAAGGACAAACTAAACCATTTGCTTTAGTTTGACCTTCATATTTTGAACAATATATTGATTTCAAATATAACAATTACTTTAAATTTCTCATTTACAATCTGTCACTGTCATCAAATTTTTCTAACTTGTTAGTTAAATTTACTCAGCATTTAGTTATTTGTTATGGACATTTTATCATTAATATTTTATAAGTCACTAACAGAGGCAAAAGTATTTCAGTGAAACTATGAAAATATGCCAGCAGTTTACAACTATTGTGATTTATTCATTTAATTTTTATAGATAAAATATTTTGTGCTAATTATTAAATTCTCATACATACATACATACATACATACATACATACATACATACATACATATATGAGAATTTAATTATGTATATATATTTTTAATCAAAGTTTTGGTCTCCAATGTTTTTATACATAAATTTTTAATATTTCTAGCAATTATAGTTTTTAATGTTGTTACTTTGAAGTTTATTCTTATGTAGACACATTGGAACAGTGATATTTAGTTTCAGATACCCAGTAATTATGAAAATAAGAATCATTATTTTAGTTTCTATTATAATAATTACTTTTTTACAGTTGTCTTTGTATTATTTCAGATTTAAATTTAAATTAATCATTATGATGATAATAATTAGCTAATTTAAATATGCTGTGGATAAATGACATATTGTTAAAGAAGAATGAAAAAAGATTGCATTATCATAATGTTATGACAGATTTAATAATTTAATTATTATATTTATATATTATTTGAAAATGAAATTTATTTATAAAATTATGTGAAGGATAGATTCTGATTCAAGAAAATTTATATTTATTCTCAGCTATTATATTTAATAGTAGTATACTTCTATAATTTGTAAATAATATAACAACAGTGTATTAGTTACAGTAAATTTTTGTTATGCAAGATAGTATTTCTGATGATTTTATATTGAATTTATTTATTTTTTTTCTAATGATTTAACATTTATAAATGATTGATTTTACTATCAGTTTCAATAATGCCAAATTAATGAAATAACAAAGATTTATTGTATAATAAAAATATCAGAAATATCCAAAATAAAATATGTAAAACTATAATAATTAAAAAAAACAATTTATTTTTTAAAATATATTTAAAAAAAGTTAGTTAATGAATTAGATAATTAAGAGAAGTTTAATTATATGATGATTGTTTTAGATGAAGATTGGGAGAGTGAATTAAGTGAAGAATATCGCCATTCAACAAGACGAGCAGCTCAGAAAAAGATTAATTATAAGGAAGTTTCTTCTGATGAAGAAGAAGGAAATTGGGGAAGTGGGAAAAGGTGGCCTCCTAAACAGTGAGATATATAAATTAGTTAATGTCAATGCAGTTTGGGTTTTTCTTTACATCATATTGTGTAAAGAAAAAAGCCTTTCTTATACAGTAGATTCCGGTTAATAGGACCATCGGTTAATTGAGCAGCCATTTATTTGAGACAAATTTAAAAAATAAATTGAGAAAATAATGAGAATATTTACTTTGGTTTTTTTGGAACACCATTTCATTTAATTGGCACAGACTTCAAGTATTCCTCATCCACTTACATGTACAACCCTAATAGACAAGAGGTTTAGTTTTGCTTACTGCCTCATTTCTAGAAATCTCAACTGGTCAAATGCCTAGAGGAATGACTCACCACTAATTCCAGTGACCCTGATACAGTCCCTTTATATAATGAACAATTTCAAACTACTTATAGCTTCAGTTTGGTGTGGTTGTTGGATGAAAGTATAAAGATTGTGTTGTGATTTAGTGCTGTGATATTTTACAATTATATTTTTTATTTTATAAAATTTGAAAAGCTCATTAAATGTCAGGTAAATAGTTGTCATTAGCTCAGAAATCTGCTGAATACCAATCATTATTATCTAGCAGATATTACTGGAATACAAAAATCATCTATTTCATACTTGTTCATCATCGAAAAAGTGAGAGATGAGTGTATGTGTATTAGAAAATGGCAAACCTCCCTAAAAGGAAATGTAAAGATCCTGATAGTGACAATGCCCTAAATCAATGGTTCTCTGTTAAAATTGAATTAAGAATGCATGTTAATGGACCAATGCTGAAAAAGATGTCAGGAAAGTTAACTAAAATGCTGGATTGTAATGATTTTAAAGTGACCGATGGTTGGTGGTCTTGATGGAAAAGTAGATATGGGATTAAATTTAAGAAAGCGCACAATAAAAAAAGAGTGTTGATGTTAAGAGTGCAGAAGAGTGGATAATTGAGATACTAATCACTTTACTTCAGGAATTTTTTGCAAGTAACATTTACAATGTGGGTGAATGTTACAGGTCTTGTTTTATGTCTTGTCCTAATGTTTTTCTATACTACAATCACAATACTCCTGTCAATCAGAAAGAAGGTGATGGATTAGATGTCATAGATTATTATAACATGAAAGGAGATGACAGAAAGCAGCTCTTAGTTATTGCTAAAAGTGCTAAGTCTGGATGCTTTAAAGGACTACAGCATTAATGCTTGACTGGAAATGATCTTTCCGGTTGAGTCCAGGCTTATAATAGTGCACGGATGACATGGAAAATTTTTAAAGAATGGTTAAAATGATAGGATGTGAAATTTCAGAAGTTGAGATCAGTTCTGTTGGTTCTTGACAATTGTGCTATACAACTGAGATGTTTAGATCTGAAAAACATCTATTTGAAATTTCTGCCTTTAAACACAATGTCCTTAGTATACCCAATGGATATGTGAATAATTATAAAACACTGTACTGTTAGAAAGTTGGTGTATCACATATTAGGAGCAATTGAAAAAATATTCTGATATCTTCCATAGCCAAGGAAGCAAATACAAAATTAGTCTTCTCCAAGCAATAGTTTATTTCAGATAGTTGGTGAAAAATAAACACTAATGACAAATGATAAATAAGCACTAATAAAAACAATGACAAAAAATGTTTTTGTCATTTTAAAAATTTGGATTTGGAGCTTTTAGAAACAGTCAATGCTGAATGTGATGTCATTCCAGAACTTCAAAAAGTTAGAAACTTTGAAGACTTTGAAGGTATAGATAATTATGTTGAATGTTACAATGAGTATGGAAATTTTGAAGATGAAATCATTGAAAACATTTTGGTAACAAAAAAGAAAATAATAATGAAGAAAGTGGCAAAAGTAGTGAAGATGACTCAACTAAATCAGAGTGGAAGACTACATAATGCCAGAAAATTCATTAATGGCTAGTGAAGAAATTTTATGCAAAAAAAGAAAATGAAGGCAGATTATTATCTGTATTAACTTAGAATCAAGCAAAAGAACAAGGCAAATTACAAAGGAAAAAATTCATTGATGATTATCAGGAACTAGAAAATAGAGAGTAAGTATCTTTTCTCAGACAGATTTAGATATTGACTATTTTATAGAATTGCTATTTTTAAAGTCTTTTTTTCCTATGATTTTTAGTAGGTAAACAGGAAGAATTCAAGAACAAGAGCTATGTCCTTATAAATGAATCATTGTGAAGAATATTTAAATAGTACTGTATTTGTCTGTAATTTGTCTATATTATTTTCTGGTAATTTATTCTTTAACTTAAAGAAATAAATAATTTGTTGCTCAATGAGGTGTTTTTCTTGTTTATATCTTTCTTACCTATCTGCATGATGCTTTGTATAGTTGGGGCAGCACTTAATTGATCCAAAATGCACTCATCCCAATCTGTTCCAATTGACCGGAATCCATTGTATTTTTTCTTAAAATATAATGTACTATAGTTAACTGCGTTTATTGAAAAAATTTTTAGTATAATAATAAATCTTAATAATTTAATAACTTTATGTTAGTAGTTTTAAAAACTTCCTGGAATTCAATTTTATTATAGACTGTACATTTGGCAGGAACACTTATGCAGTATTTCTCTCAAATTGATTTCCTTTATTTGATACATACCTTTACCAGCTGTTTTACAGTTCTTGGAAGAAATTTTTCTCTACTTTTTAAAATAGTTATTTCTGCCCAAGTAATTTTGTTGGCATTCTTGAAATGTCTTCCTTTCAAAACTTGTCTGGGAAAACAGGTAAAAATTGTATAGTGCCAAATTAGGAGAATAAGGTAGATGTTCCAGTACTGTTACATTATGATGCTTTGGAAAACTACTGCTTTATGAACAGGACTCGTGTACCAAACATTGATGTAGAAAAGAAATTACAAATTATTTTCATTGGAAAATTCTAACGGAAATGCAAACTTTTAGTACAATTTCTTCGACACACTGCTTTCTGTTACTTCTCTGGCAATATTTGTCTGATTATTTGAAGTTGATAGCTGGCCTGAATAGGGATCAGGATGATCCCTATTCAGGCCTGCTGTCATCCTTAGTACTTTTATGGCTCTCAAAGAAATGCTTATGTCAATTAAATACTAGGCTTTTCTTTATTGTAAATTTATTTTATGCCTGTTGAAGTATTAAAAGTGTCTAATGATAATTTATTTAGCCAAAAATTTTGTTTGTTCTTGCTTGTTTATACTCATTTTTGAAATGCAATGAAAACTATATTGTGCTATATGTAAAATGGCACAAAACTAACTTTACATGCTTTATCACAAAATGAATACTTTGTTACGTACATAAGATCTGTTGTTAAGTAATTTTGTAACAAATTCAATAATTCTGTCATTTTAAACATGTTATTAGTACTATTCCAGGAACTTTTTGAAGCTACTCATATTTTTGTTAGATATTTTTAGCTATTAAAGAAAATATTTAATTAAATAAATTATAGCTGAAAATATACAATTTTTTAACATCTAAAAATTCTTCCTTTATTACCATTTAGTCAACATAGTAAACTTTATCTTTAACAGGATTTTGTATATATATGTACACAACAAAAAGATAGTCAGTCATCATTTTTTAAACTGACATAGGAAAATAAGATTAATAAAACATGTGCTAGTTCTTTAAAAAACATTTTATATGAAAAAAAATATTAAGAAATTTATGGAATAACATCATAGATAGCTTAATCATCTGGATGTACTATATTAGTTGCAGTCATCCATCATTTTAATTTTTTTTGCTGAATATAGTAGTTTAAAAAATTGGTTAGCACATTAAAATAAGTCATATTTTTCAATTTTTATTGAAATACAAATTTTATCAAAAAATTATGATAAAATATAAGGTTTACATTTTCATCTTTATTTAAACTTAAGTTAATAAATACATTAAAGATCTTCTTCAGTCATATATAAATTTAGAATAAAACAATGGTATGAATTATTATATATAACAATAGAATGAAATTCAGATTTTGATGATGATAAGACAATCAATTGTTTTTTAAAATCTTGTACTATTACCTTAAATAATTGTTTTATTATGTAATAAAATATTCAAAAACACTAATTTTTTTTATAATTGCATTGCGAAAAAATTATTTTGTAATCTAAATTAACAAATAATTAAAAAATGTATAATTTGAAATAATTTCAATAAATATTTAGAGATTTTTCAATTTAGTTAAAGTTAAAAGTAGTAGTAAGTTAGTGTACACATTTAAAAGTTTATCCGAAAGTTAAAAACTTTTTTATAAGTTGTTAAAAATAATTAAATTACATTTACAAATATTTTGAAAAGAAAATCAATTTTTATCCAGGTTTTGATTTTATTATCAGGTCTGTCATAGTGAAAATTCAATTTTTAACATTTATTTTAATTTCAGGGGAAAGCGTCAATGGAAGTCAGATTCAGAAAGTTACCATGAAGATGAGGATGAAATGGATGCCTGGAAGAAAAAGAAAACTTTTAGAAAGAAACTAGAGACATCAGATAGTTCTGAATTTGAAAGCGAAGAAAGTAGTTATGAGAGTGCTGATACAGAAAATGATAAGAGGAAAAAGGAAAAATATAATAGAATCATTAGAGCTGAAGACGCTGAAGAAAGACCAAGGAAGACAGCAGAAAGAAGTGAAAGAAATTCTTCTAAAATTCATCCTAGAAGAATGAAAACCACTAAATCTATTCTTGAATCTGACAGTGATGAGAAACCACCTAAACGAAAGAAATTTAAAATAAGTGATGATGAAGATGAAGATGAAAGTGATGATGATGATGACGATGATGATAGTGACAGTGATAGTGCTAATGAAGAGGATGATGAGGAGGAAGAAACTGAAGATGAAGAACAAGGAAAATCACATGCAAAAAAACAATCTATGCTTCATCCAAATACAGAAGAAGAAAATGTGAACACAAATGCATCGTTAGATGCATCAAAATTACATAATTCAGATAATAATTTTAAATCTTCAAAGCCTTCCTTAGAATCTGTAAATGATAATTCAGTGTCTCCTAAAGAAGCCTCTTTTCATCAGCGATCAGTTATAACTTCTGTTGGTATGGTAAAAGAAGATTCTTTGACACCAAAAATTCAAGAATTACCCAATAATCAGAGACGTGAAATGTATATGCATGGTGAGGAAAAACTTCCCTATCCATCAGGTTCACAACCAAGAAGTGAGGAGAATTTGCCTGCAGCCAAAGATATTCAGACTGTAGAGCAGGAGCAAATACTTCCTAATGCAGATCGTCCAGAAGAAAGAGAGTTTAGGCAAGCATCTGATAACCACAGGCCTCCAGGTTTTCGTTATCAACAAAATCCAGAAAATAGAACTTATGGTGATCCTTACACGGAATGCATAACTCCATTAGAGGAATATTCTTCTCGGCCCAGCCCATTAAAACCATCTCTTGTAGAAACTTATCCACATTCATCCAGTCCATCAAAATTAACACCACTAGATTCATATTCACAGTCATCGAGTCCCTCGGGTCTGATGCCTTTAGATCTGTATACACGTTCACGATCATTTGAAAAGCAAGCTACTTATCCTCAACAGCCCACACCACCTCACTCACAGCCCATGGGACATTCACCAGTTTCTAATTCAAATAGAGAGTATGGTCCTGGATATATTCCTGGAGAACGTTATCGACCCCAAGGATCAGTATCCTATGGCCAAGGACCATACCATCCACAGAATTATAGCAGGACATCACACCATTCACCGCCACCTTCCTCTAGTCCATATCCTCCCCAACAAGGATCACCTTCAGTAACTGGTCAACCAAGTCCTGCTTCACAGGGAATGTATCGTACATTTATTGGCCCTTATCCATCTCATTCCCCAGATTATTATAATAATCAAGGTTATTATTCGCCTCATGGTGAGCACAGTGGTCCTCCTCCTGCTTATCCTCCAAATTATCCTATTCCTCCACAACAGGGTGCACCATACCCTTACTATAATCATCCCGGGCAACAGTCAAATGGTGGTTTCATGATTGACAGTATACTAAGGTCCCGAAATCCAGAAACTGAGGATGACGACCTAACGGGAGTAACGGATATTGTTTCTTACATTACTCAGGAGTGATTTATAGGCAGTTATTACTTGATCAGCACAAACCATTCTTAAAAATAAAGAGCCTTATTATGGTGATGCTTCCTACACTTCATCTCCAGCAGCACGCTGGATGGCTGCATTGTTGCATCCATGCTTTTGTGATGATAGCATTTGAACGAAGAGGGACATTTAAACAATGCATGTGTTTTATATAATCATCATCATTTTTGTGCTTCGACGACCACTTCTGCCATCCCCAATTTTGCTCTTAATATATTTCCACAGGATTGTGTGCTTTGTACAGAAAAAAACCTGCAAAATATATGTCGGTGCTAATTGTGAATAATGGTGTGTAATTTTTATGTTGCCTTATGTAGATGCACTAAATAATTTATGGACAAAGTTTTTTGCATCTATGTAATGTGTCATATAAAACTTGCATCTGTGACTGTCTGTATCCATATGAGTTGATAAAACAAACAGAAAATATACCATGCATGCATCTTGCTGGTGCCTACGATTCCCTCTCGACAGCACATGTTAAACGATGTTAATTGAGAAATGAGTTGTAAAAAGTGATAATTCAGAAGCCCTGGAGGGGTTTTCTATTCTATAATAGATGTACAGATATAATAGTTGATCAAACACAAATCATGACTATTCAAGAGTTATATAATTAAGAAGGCAAGATTGAGAGTTGCAAGGATCAGGCAACAGAGCAATGTAACAGAAAAAAATGTAAAAATTGTATATTTTGTTAAACTTCCTTGCGTCTGACTGAATAGTTATTGTTGGGATTTTAGTATAACTATTTTATACTTTGGTGTGTCAAGTGATGTGATCAAAATTTCTAGCATTGATGAATTTTAAATATAGATATATAGAAACTACATGTCAACTAATTTAGGTGGATATGTATTATTATTATTATTATAAATATTATTANAGAGTTAAAAGAGTAAAATCTACAGAGGCTTAATATGAAGCTAAAATTAGTAATACAGTAATACCCCGAACTTACGCGATAGGTGGGACCGAGTGATAACCGCGTAAGTCGGGGTATAATTTTGCATATAAATACACAAAAACAAAATAATTTTTAAACAGAGTATTGCTCTTTTAATAGTGATCCAAATAGTTCATATATTGCACTCTCGTTAGTGTATGCAATCCGTGTTGGATTTTACATGTGAAATATAAATGCGTTTACATTCTGATATCCTACTAACTGATTGTCTATAATTATAGTGATATGTCTTAGACAATTAGTAAAATACGTTGTGAACCCCATTACTCCTTCAGTCGTACAGTATAAATGCCGGGCGCAATGCTCTTACACGAATCAAGTCTTTGTTACATGAAAGAATGTGTACAAAATGGTGTGAAAGCTCATCCATATATTTGTCATTTGAGTGGCAGCCTTGTAATAAAAGTATTTACTATTCCTGTGTCCTAAGTGTAAAACTATATTATCAAAAAAAGAGGAAAAAAAAGTTATCCCAGAATTTACAGATTTAAAAATATATCCTACAATATTGATTGAAACAGAAAGTTTATATTTTGTTACAAATTTGTAATTTTTATTTAGGCCAATTATTTATGAAAGTTTTTGTTTTTTACTAGACAGAGAGGGAAACAGTCTGCTGGAACATCATGTAAAAGAAATTATGTTTCATTAAAATTGCAAAAAAAAAAAAATAATAATAATAATAATAAAGGCACAACTACAAGATTTTCTTCCATACTCATTAAGAAAATGCATGTCACAGTAATCTATGAAAAATCTTAAGAGTAAAATGTACATTTAGTTTATTATTGAAAATATTTGCATAAATTTTCAAGTGGTATTTACAAAATTATTCTGTGAATATGATTTTTATTAGTGCAATAATTTTTAATGCTGATTAATTAGCATTTAATGCAATTAGATATCCTGAATGAATTAATCAGACTGTGGAATAATTCTAAATCTATTGAGATTGTTTAACAGAACTTTTGAAAAAAAAAATTATATATACAAAATAGAATATTTTATTATCTTTGCCATCTATATATTACAAATAAAGTAACTCATCACTGCTAACATTTGAGTGTTCATTTGACCATTATCAATATACAGGATCTTGAAAGTACATTAAAATACTCAAATTTATTTTTATTTTCTCGAGAGAATAATACGTTTGATACGGAAATCAAAGTGACTTTGTTATCTGTCTCTCCATTTCAAAAGAAAAAGAAATTATGGCAATGTTGAAACACGTGAATTTACTGATGTACTTCTTAAATTATTTAAATTAATATTGGTAACCTTTTTGTTCCAATAATCAGTATATTTGATGATGATAAAAGTGATTTCCAAAAATATTGTCTACTGTTTAATAGTTTTGTTTGATACTGAAAATTATTTCCAAGATAGTGGTAGAAAAATATTCATATTCAATATAGTGAATATGGTTTAATTATCAATAGTATCCGATTCTAAAATGGCCGAAATTCTTGTCAAAATGGAAAGTAAATTATGAATTTTCAGTCCGTTTTATTTATTTTATGTGAATATAAAAGAACATAGCCGAATTGTAACGGATGTTTTAAAAATTTAAGATCTTAGCGGTTTTTTTCTTCTATTGAGAAAATCGTATAATTTTTAATAAAAATATGTGAACGATTTATTGAAATTCTTTTTTTTCTTATATACTGTGGTTACTAGAATTTTTAATATTTTCCTGCAGTTCAGTATCGGGATTAACGAACTAAAATGCTTAAATTTGAATATGCTAAATCACTTTTTCGTTTTTCTAAAATTTAATGTTTGATCCAATAAATAGGAAAACTTTTATTGTTTCTTTCAAATTACATTGCCAATAAATATTGTAATTTGACTCTTAAGTTATAAGAATATCATACGTAAAGATGATGTCCATTCTAAATAGCATATTGCAGCGATAGCCGAATTTCGGCGTGGTCATTCATGTTCAAGTATCAATTCTTTCACATCTTTTGTATATTTTGAACTTGAGAACTAGAATAACTTTGCAAGTTTTAGATATAAAAATTTGTAATTACATCTTTATAGTGCCGTTAGCAAATTTTCTGATACTTCATTTTTTAATCAACGGGCAGAGCCGTAACTAGCCATTCCTGTGCCCTGTGCAAGAATTTGCATTTAGGTCCCTTAATTTATTTGGTTTTGGGAAAATAATAAAACAAATACATTACAATAGATTTTTAATAAGATTTATTTTAATTGAATTTTTCTGGCTTTCATTTCAGCAAATTCATTAATTACACCTTCATAATATTTTTGACAATGTTGCATTCTATTGAAATAATAGAAATATTGGATAATCGTTCTTGTCCGATAGTTGATGTTAAATAATTTTTTATTAAGTTTAACTTGCTAAAACTTCTCTCGCACGAAGCAATAGAAACGGGAAGAGTTAGAAATATTCGAAGAGCGACATTGATATTTGGGTAAGACTCAATTAAACCAAAATCATAAAGATCCTGTAGAATATTAAGCGGAGATACAGTTTTTATATTTTGTATGATAGTCGTTACTGTAAAACTAAAACTTTCAATTTCACTTGTGAATTCGTACTTTTTTAAATCTTTGCTATATTTAATAGCGAGATCCGCAGCCGATTTTTTAAAATCAGCAACACTCGTGTATTGTAAAGACGAACCACAGAAAGCAAAAATCGTTACAGATTGTCTTCATTTTTTCATAACACCAATCTATTTGACACAATAGTGTGTCAAGAACACTGTAAATTTGTAATTTAAATAATTTTTCGGGTGTCAAGTTACTTCCTTCAGTTGGTGTTTTATCTATTTCCATTATCTTAACTCTTTTTTTTCGTTTATTAAGAAATTCCTTTTCTATACAAAAAGTATAGAAAGTATGGTTTGTGTTAAGAATATGATCAATAATAGCATCTGTTAATATTGTTGGCCATAAAGCTATATCATTTATTATTTCCATGTATCTATATATAGCGAAGCGTTTTTCTGGACTATTTCTATCTTCTGTGTTTTCGCAATCCCTTTTTCTCAGTAGCATTTTAAAGACTGCAAGAGCCCCTTCGGGGCCCTACACGCCCGCATAGTTCGCTTACCGCTTAATCCGTCGTTCAGGTATACAC